CCGTTTGTTTTTTAGCGTTTTGCTCCTAAAACAGCTTTTTCACATTTTTAGCTGTTTGACTTTACATATCCACTAAAATAAATTGTTTGGTAAACAGCTTTTAAACATAGCTTTTTTGTTCCATCCGCTAAACTTAAAAACGCTGCAATTCTTAGCGTTTGAGTTCAGCTGATCAAAATAAAAAAAGCAGAAAGTCTCAATTGCCCACTCTGGTTGCCCCTTTCCATTTTCCTTTCCTATTTCCAAAACAAAATCTCTATATGTATAGTAGCCGTGTGGGACTGCCCATCTTAATTTTATATATTATTTGATTGCGTGAATTCTTCTTATCATCCACATAATCATTTAAAAAATTAAAGTATTATAATTAGTTGTAAAAATAATATTGATTAATCGTCAGATCAACATAATATACAATCTGGCTGGCACCAATTGAATTCTTAGCATTAAGTGTGACATAATTCTCAAGGTTTAGAGCATCTCCAATGTTCTAATGTTGTTGTATAATAATTTTTGACAAATGTTAATAAATTAAATAGATTGTGAACCATGTAAGAAAAATATTAAGTTTACAACTATGAATTAAAAAAATTATCTCCAATGCACAATGTAGTATAACTACAATTCTATTTACTTACCAAATATAAAATTTATAATATATAATAAGAAAAATTAATTAAATAATTAAATTGTTTGGAATTGGTAAGAGTTATTCTTACTCTTCTTTTCATTGGCTAGCTACAAAGTGGAGGAGAATGTGAATGAACCACATTCTTCTCTACATTGTAGACATTAATTATGTCCAAGTCATCACAACATATGTGATTACATTGTACATTGGAGAATAAAAAGTTGTGGTATTGATAAATGTGTTGATGTGGAATGTAATTTCCACAACAACATTTTAGCATTGGAGATGCTCTCCAAGCATACTTTTTTTAAAATATAAATATATTTATAATAAATTGTTATCTATATATACAATAAGAAACTTAAATCATTTTTAGAGCATTTTTTTTTCTTAATGATATAGCTTCAAATTTGATGACATCCAGACGTCGCTCTAAGAGCATTTTTTCATTTTCTTTTATTTATTTTTTAATTATAATATTGAATATTGCGATTGAGCCACATTTATATTTTCCATTAGTATGACTTGTTGTTGGTTTTATTTATATGGCGTGAACTTATTTACTCGATTATAAAATATTTTCATTTTATTACTATTTATATTTTTTATCATATTTAAATCATTTCAACAAATATTTAAAATATTAAATATTATTATTTCCTAATAATTATAAGTTCAACATAAATTAGAATGATAAAGTATGTTGATGTCCTTATAAGTAATTTTACATGTTAACAGCTAATTAAAAAAGCTAATTTTACCAAACACTTTTTTACAAACCGCTAACACAATCAGCTGGTCAAAACAGTTAATGCAATCA